AGTTGTCCAGAAACAAACAGTTCTTTGTTCACAGTACTTTGTTCTAAGTTAGCTTCTGTTAGCTTGTCCATACACCTTTCTAATGATCAAGCAACTTTTCCCCACTCTTCACAGAAGGAGTTAACTTGACCTTGAGGATGAACAAACTGGTAACTTGAAGGGGAATTCGTAACTGTTGAAATAATTTGTGATGGACCACTAATGGAGTTAGTTACAACAGGATCAATTTTTGCTGACGAGAAATCTTGCGTACAAGCTTCTTCTGTTTGAATGGGAAGACCGAGTTCAGGTTCAAAATGACGAACGGTAAATACTGACTGTGTCACGGCTCCCGGTGAGAATGATGGAGCAGAAGCTCGCAAACCACATGTTGTGGTCTTTGGTGTGGATGTTGTTGTCAAACAGGTGTTTGGGATACATGTACTTGAGACTGAACTGATGTATTAGTCTCTCATTTGCACGGATAGTTACTGTTAGAGATTGCAAGAATCTTTTCACTCCTTGGCCTTTACTCTCACTAGGAAGATTGACTAGATCTTCTTCAAGGGACGGTGTTTGCTCATTATCAATCTCCTTGCATACACTTAACTTGGCTCTACTAAGTTCAAGTTCCCTCTTAAGAGCGACTGTCTGTAAATATCGACCAAAATCGACTTTTTGTGGTACAACTTCAAAATTCGAATTTCGCTCGTTTTTGGCTCATCGATAACCCTTAATGAGTAATGAAACATGCTGTAGTTAGTTTTCCCAAATAACGTGTTCTTTGTCAAAATTCGAGAAAACTCATTTTGTCCGTTCGGAGCTCAAAATCCACTTCCGGTAAAACGAAATTGTACACAAATTTTATTAACTCGTACGACAAACCACAACGATTTGGCAGCCTTTGAAGAGTACAGATAGTTTTTGTGACCCTTTCTTTCTTACAAGACGATAAATTTGTGAAAGCGGTAATGATTTTGTGGCCAAAAAGGTATTGTTTAAAATAGGCCCTATTGACAGTTTCTACCGTTCAAAATTATAGGGATAAAATAATGCAAATTTTTACAATGCGCTATGACTTAAAATTTCGCAAATTGACTTTCTAAGGCTTGACTAGGCCCCAATCTATCAGAAAATCGAAACAAATCTCTGGGCAAACGATTTTAAGTAGCCCGCAAGACCTCGAGTTCGACCCTAATTTTGCGAAAAATTGCGACATTCCAGTAGTTAAAATAGCGTTATACCGCCCGTCACGCCAGGGTTACCGATAGATATGCTTTAAACAATTTACTTAAAGGTAGATTAAAAGCCAATTTATTACGGCTGAACAAGGGTTCCAGTTTTCTCCAAAGTGCCTTCTGGATCTGAATAACGAAGCGATTTTCTTTAGTCCGTGAATGTAATGTTTTTCTTCAATGCTGTATCACGCTGGGCCCAGCTTGTTAGTTTTGTTTGGAGAATCTTAAATTATTACGGATAGTGATTTACGGGTCGTGTGTGCTCTTGCAATAAAAAGTGACACTGAGTAGAGCGGGCGTACAAGGCAACTGTAATATCATCACGACTGTGCCATTCTTCGGTGGTCCAACTATATTACCTCTTGCGTCTTTGGCTGTGCGTTTTGCGACTACTGGGAAGCCTTCGCACAAGCAAAACCTGCTTAAGACATCGAAGACTGTTGAAACGTACAACAAATGTCCAGTCTTGAAAGATCTTCACTTCAATTAAAACTCTGTTGTTTTCGCATAGATCTCTGAGATCTTTAAAACTCTCTCCGCAGCTGATGTTTTGATTCTCGAATTAGCAGCGGTCTGTTGCTTTTGCGTTTCCGGTCTCATTCCGACTTCCGTCACCGAGTGCCGCGGTTCACATGGAACGAAGTCACGTGGTACAAGTTTCCTCCCTTGTCCTTTCTTTTACTCGGCACTTCGTGCCTCGGTCGCCCTCCGGGCGACGGCCTTCGGTCACCCTTCGGGCGACTTGCCGTGCGCAAGCGAGGATATGACTTGCGGTTATTGATTTTCAAAAGTCGATCTGGGTCAGATAAGAAGCGAAGAAATCGTTTACAGTAGATTTATAAAGATCCCATTGGGCTAATTAATCGTGCTAAGCGACAGGTATAGACATTTTTGAAAGTAAGTAATTCATTTATTCACACGAAACTCCTCTGGACCCTGTGCTAAAATGTCATTATATGCATCCACAAATTCATTCCACAGAACCTGTGCCTTACTAAGCTCTTGCTTTCACTTTGATAACTCGTTACAATATTCCCGAAGGAACAGTGTTTTTCTCAGTGTTCCCGTAAGACTTGACCCTTTATTCTTGAAAGAGTTCAACTTTATATCGTTTTGATAGGACTGACCCTTTTCGGTTAGCTTCCTGATACGAAATTCCGACACATGCTGTTCATTTTCCACATGGAAAAATCCTTTGTCTTCGGCATTCTCCGATAGATCAACAATTAAAAGCGAAGACTTCTCGCAAACATCATCCAAACAATTATTTGAAGGGGAACTTACCACCTCACCAGAAACATCCGACATTGAAGCCTCTGGAATATCACTCAACTCTCGAGACATGACGAGAACTGAATCCAACCCAAAGGCAATCAGAACTAACTTTGTACAAAGGTTTACACCACTTGGTATCCATTCAAATCCTCAGCAGGTCGTCCGACTTTCGTTATGAACTTGTTGTTGTTAAGTTGTTATTGCGGCTGCCGTCGAAGGTCGTACTTGGCATCCGAAGGAGTTTCGCTGTTATTCACAAGAACAAAAGAAACGCTTTAATTCTCAGACATTGATCTTCACTTTATCTACAGGTAATCTTTAACTCTTCAGTTCTTCAGATAACAACTTAGTCTGCCTTACAAGATGCGGATGAGCGAAGGATTACATGGATTGTAAACCTAAATCACACATGTGATAAACAAGAACATGGTGGCAACTAGCACGGGTCCTAAGCAAAATGGTAACAACCGCTGACCATAAATAGCGATAACCCCTTCCTACGGCATTGCTGCTGAGTGAAAAAAACCTTCTGTTCTCCTTGTCTTCGTTTCAGACAATACTGGGTCCGTCTTTCTCAACAAAATACTACATTCAAACCTACAACTAGAGCTAGAGCCACGAGAAAATTGTCAACAGTATCCACTAATAGTCCCAGTGTGAGACCTACCCTCAGATCTGAAACTTCAGCTAGACCTAGCAGCAAGCCCGAGTACAAATCGAATGTACCAAACTTATCTACAACACCACTGCCATCGTCTCCAGATGATTGGACAACTCAAGCTTCTTTTCCCAACGTAGGAACGTTGACGACGAATAAGGCGAAATTGATATACGTAAAAATTGTAAGTGCTAAAATTAAGGTCATCAACCGTAAGACGGTTAACTCAAAACATTTGCCTGTATAGGTATTCATGGCCCAGTTACTAGAAGAGCACTGCATCTCTAACGCAAAGGCCTTGGGTTCGAATCCGATTGAGGCGCCCTAGATTCTCTTCGGCGGGGCTTGATCTGAAATTGCTTTTAAAGTACGTTAAAACAAGTAACAAAAAAAACAACTGTAACTTGTTGTGTAACTTTATTGCAGAACGAGTTGGAAATTGATGTTGAGCGTCTTTAGTACCACCCACGTTCAAACCCGTCTTGCAACAAATCAGGTTGCAAAAACCTGATTTGTGACACTTGTAAAAAATATTTTAAACACGCATCTGGCGTTTTAATCTATTTCATTCAATCATTTTATGTTCTATATTCAAAGTCTTCAGTTAACATGAATCCGATGGGATCAAGGCACGTCAAAATCGTAAGTTAATTTCGTTGTGGTACGTAGAACTTCCGTCACTTAATTTAAGTTCTTTATGATATGATGTCCATGTATTTAGTTTAAAAATTGTTAGAAATGTGAATACATAGTCAGCTTTCAACTCCAAATACAGCTAAATGGGAGAAGCAACTAAGCGTGTAGAAGTAATAATAAGCAAAGAGTAGTTGAGGTAAAACAAAAGACCCCTTTGTTTCCTGTTCAGGGAAAATTCTGCTTGGTATTGTTTCGTAGTTTTTGTACTTTTTTTTTTCGTAGTCTGTCTGCAGTAAACGAGTTAAATGCCAATTTCACGCGCGTTTTGTCCAAATTCTAACAATTTCCCGATCTTTTAGGCCAGGAAAATTATTAGGATTTGGACAAATCGCAAGTGAAACTATTCGCTAGTTTCACGAGTATACTTTGATCGCCTATTGATATCATGGGTGACAAATGACCCTCACAGTCATTTTTACATGATTTATAGTATCGATCGAGAACTCCACTCACTGAAACGTTTACAGCTTAAATTTTGGCTTAAGTTCATAATTTTCAGAGTTTTTTTTAACAACCTGATAAAATCCTTCTTAATGTGCTCTTTCGTGTCTTCAGGTTTTCTAAAGCGTCCTTTAATGCTCTGACATCCTCATTCATAATATTTTAAAGCTTCGACGCTATTTTGGGACTGAGACGAACGTAGCTTTGCAAAGACAATTTAATTTGTAATTTCACATGTGAAATTATAATTTAAAGCTAAACGTTCGCGTCAAAACTAAGGAAAAATTTGTCACTCATGATATTGTATTGTTTATTCCCTTTAATTTAATCAGATTTGAAATTAAAGATGAGACAGAACATGAGGTTATTCCTACTTTTCTGGCTTTTCTTTACTTTATGTAAATCAAATCTGCAAATCAAGGAAACGGAAAACAAAACAGGATCAGATAACGTTAGCTCTGTAAGTTTATTTCTTAACACATTTAATTTCTGCTATCATATATTTGAATTTTCCTCTTATATGACGTTTCTTTATCTTTTATATTTATGAAATCTGCAAATTAAGGCAACAGAAAACAAAACATGATCAGATAACGCTAGCTCTGTAAGTTTATTTCTTAACACATTTAATTTCTACTACTATATATTTGAATTTTCCTATTATATGGCTTTTCTTTCTTTCATGTTTATCAAATCTGCAAATTAAGACAACAGGAAACAAAACAGGATCAGATAATGTTAGCTCTGTAAGTTCAGTTTGTTAATACATTTAATTTCTGCTACTAGCTATATTTGAATTTTCCCCTTATGTGGCTTTCCTTAATCTTTCATATTCATCAAATTTGCAAACTAAGGCAACAGAAAACAAAACGGGATCAGATAACTACAACTCTGTAAGTTCATTTCTTGATACGCAGCGGAGCACCATGGGTTAGAAAATTTGGTAATCCACCCATCTGAGAAATTTTGGTAATCACGTGACCGTACGCCCGACCGTTCGTCCACACCACAGGCATACCAATGTAAAATAATTCAGTAAACAGGTACGACACCACAGACAACTCGGGATGTTTTTGGCAGGAAATAGTATTGCCGCCTAGACTTTTAGAGAAAAAAAGTCGTGTCTTTTTCGACGTTAGTTTTGATGTTTGCACTCACGTGGAGAAAGAGAAAGAGAAAGAGAGAAAGACAGAAAGATTTAGAGCGAGTAATTAAAAAAAAAGGAATCGAATTTCGTTGGGAGAAAAACATGACAATTTCATAGCGGCGTTGCCGTGAGAATATGAGAAATGCTAGCAGCCAGCAAGGTGAAATAAGTGGCAGTGAAAAAATAAAAGCGAACATGAACACGGGAAACAAAATCTTTGTTATGCACGTACGACATTTCCTCCATAAAAATAATGTGTAACTAGGAAGTTTGACGTTTTAGTCTTACAAAACGGCAGTGTAGTCGTGCAAAACAACGGCAAAGAAAGACAAAAAAGCGTGCTGCACGTGCAAATTTGTTTTTATTTGGCTGATAAGAAAAAATAGTGTGCTGCACGTTTGCAAATTTGTTTTTTTGCTAATTATCAAATCTTCAAACTAAGGCAACAGAAAGCAAAACAGGATCAGATAACGTTAGCTCTGTAAGTTTATTTCTTAATACATTTAATTTCTACTATCATATATTTGAATTTTCCTCTTATATGGCTTTTCTTTCTTTCATGTTTATCAAATCTGCATATTAAGGCAACAGAAAACAAAACAGGATCAGATAACTTCAACTCTATAAGTTCATTTCTTGATACATCTAATTTCTACTATTATATATTTGAATTTTCCTCTTATATGGCTTTTCTCTCTTTCATATTCTGCAAATTAAGGCAACAGAAAACATAAAAGGATCAGATCATGTTAGCTCAGTAAGTTCAGTTAATTAATACATTTAATTTCTGCTACTATATTTGAATTTTCCTCTTATGTGGCTTTCCTTAATCTTTCATATTCATCAAATCTCCAAATTAAGGCAACAGAAAAGAAAACAGGATCAGGCAAAGTTAGCTCTGTCAGTTTATTTTTTGACGCATTCTGCTTCTAGACTCATTTAGATTTCCTTTGTTAGGATGCTGTCGGGAAAGAATGAAATTGAATAGTACATAGTTTCATAGTTATTTATGCGACTGTCAAAAACAGTCGTTTTACCACCTTTATCACATACATACACAGTTTAACCCATTGACGGCCATGCCAGCCAAAACCGGCTGTACAAGGCTGTACAACACTACACTGCTTTAAAAACATTCTTAATCGCAAAAACATTGCCTTAACTATCAGTTGTGATCACTGGGTGGAATGTCCCTCAAAATGGGATATTGAATAAACGCAAAAAGGTCATCCCTTTTTGCAAAATATCGCCTTTTGAATTTGGACAAGAAAAAAATATCATAGAAGAACGACAAAACTCACGTTTTTTGCCTTCAGGATTTCTATAGAAATCATCGCTGTAAAACCAAAAGTCAACACTCATTATAAACTACTGACCTTGTTGTAGCTTAGAAATGCCTTTTTCGTTCCTATTTGTTTCCCGGGCCGAGATACAGCCTTTTGTTCTAGTGCATCCTGGTCTTGCCTCGATCTTCGACATCACGATTGCATTGCATACTGGGAAATAGCCTGAATTTTGACGGCGCCACTCCAACCTACCACTGAAATGCCGGGCTTGTTGTGATTTTTAGTGGTCGCAAATTACAGAATATCCCGTGGTAGGTCAAGAAATCCATCAGTAGTCTAGTCCCAAAGCTACGTCATTTAGGAGGGGCCATTTTCCCAGTTCCTCGAGCAACAAACCACTTCTTTGAGACTCTTAGCTTCCGCCACGCTTAATGGTGCTCATCAGGCAGCCACTAAAGATGAAAAATGGCTGTAAATTTACCAAAAATCGTATACAAACCAAACTTGAGATGTTATTACAGCTCAGCGAAGCAAAAGGACTACGTTAGAAAAACGTTTCCAGAAATGTCGAGCCTTCAGTGTTTTAGAACATCATCACCTTCCATATAGTAACCCCAAATACGGATTCACGAAATCCTATGGATTGTTTTTAGGTAGAAAATCACTCGAAACCGTAAAAAGTCCCGGGCATAAATGGGTTAAGACAATAGGTGGGTTCACACTGGACTTTTCAAGTGCACTCGAGACTAACTTGTGTGTGAACAGGTCCTGTTTCACTTGACTGATCTTGACTAGTCGTTCTTAGTTGCCACAGAAACTTTAAAACCTCAAAATGCCGAAGTGCGCTCTCAAGTTAGGTCAAATCCTTTCTTGAGACTGCACTTAGAAATAATGGTCGAGAATACTGATCTCCACAAAATGTAAATGTAGGTAGGCTTTTCTCAGTTCTGATTCATGAGCTGGTTCAGAAATTTCACGATTTCTTTTTTTCACTGTATTTGACAGAAACAACGTTACTGTAAGACTTAGCTGTAGAAAAGAAGTGACTTATGTTTCACAAAGAGCGATTTGCCTGTTGTGCGTTTTGTTGGATGCATTTTATTCTTTTTTCAACTCGTTCAAGCAAAGTTTTTTGTGTCCACCTGCAGCAATAGGCAGTCATATACAAGATGAGACAACCTCACGACTCATGAAAGAAATAGAAAGCCACCAGATTTACTCAAAAAAAATTAAGCGAACAAGAAAAGTTCATACGAAACGGAAATAGCAGCGGAGCTCTAGCAAAATACTTGAAGCAACGAGCTCAAACTACCGGCAAGGAGAGCTTTTAGAACACCAAAGAAGGTTTCCCCTGCTTCGATTACTTCGATGAAACCATCTGTCGCATTTTTATCCTTTTATTTTGGCACTGTTGAAGAAGACTGTTGTCAATAAACGGAAAATCGCCCTTTGCAATAGTTCTACGGCTCTTGACTTCGCAGCCGTTTTAATTGAACACATGTACGGCAGCGTTTTCCCGTGCAATTAAACTCCGAGAGAAAGATTAGTTCCAAAACTGGAACAAAACTGCTCATTTTAACTTTAGTGTGAACGCCATTTCTTGGCAAAAAGCTGAGTGCACTTCAAGTGCATTTCAAGCACACTTGAACTCAAGTGTATTTTCAGAGCACTTCAAGGTCTAGTGTGAACCCACCTAATGACTAACAAGACGGAACCAGTGCAAGTCATAACTCTATGAAAATAGTGCATTTTGTTTTTTAATTTTGCGCTAGTAAGTTTTGAAAAAAACCCCAATTACAATCCGCTTCAATTTTTTATAATATCTTATGCCTTCTTTAAATGTTTTTTTTTGTTTTTGTTTATGTCTCACTCAATTTGCAATTGGTGGCAGTTTCCATTGTTGGAATTTTGATAAATTCCATCTCACAGTCCCCGGTGTGGGAGGATAACTACTAAAAGTTCAGTGAAACCTTTTCGTATGGTCACCTTCTGTTACAGACAGTTGTCATATTCTTATCATTTTGACTTAACTGTTTTCAGGAAACTTTCCGGGACCGTCTAACCATCTTGTTCTTTTTTTTTCTTTTTTTCCAGACACAGAGAACATTGAAAGAGGGGAAATGTTTACTAGATATGGAAGATGTAAAGGTAAATTGAATGATAATAGTTTTCAAGAAAGCCAATAAGTGAGGCCCTATGCTTTAAAAACATTTTACATTAAGATCGGCAAGAATTCCAATGACTTTAAATGCGGCACATTTGGCAACAAAAAATCTTGAGAGCGTCTGCATTTTATTTTGTCGTGCTACCAGTGTTAAGAGGAAAATACCACGGAGCCCTAGGTTTTACTTGTCGGTAAACACTCTTGAACGAACTGTGTGAATTCCTTACAAAACAACAAAATAACTGCCCATTTGAGTAGTCGGTGATTCAAAGGTTATTTTAACTGTCAAGGATTATTTTATACAAAAATAAAAATGAAAAAGAAAAAAACCTTCTCTCGCAGAAGCATTCCATATAGCCTTCATCTAGACGGAGGCTATTGTAGATAGTCGACCCCTCAGTGCGGTCATTGATCACGTCAACGAGTAAAAATCACTGACGCCGAACCACTTCCTCATCGGACGGCCATCAGCCTACATGCAGCCCACCCGGTCAATTTGAAAAGCGCGAAGTTAATAGCCACAAGCAATGGAGAATAGCCTAGGCACTCGCGGACGCAAGGAGAACCTACCTTAAACCCCTCAATCCGTTCCTAATGGAATAAAGAACAGCTAAACTTAAAGGAAGATGACTTGATCGGGTCACATGAGTCTCTCAAGACATTTCCAGGAGATGATGGGAGAGTGCGCATGGTAGAAGTGAAAGACACCTAACGAAACTTTGATGCAGCCTACCACAAAGTTGTGCTTGGTGGAAAAATCTGCTTAATAGAATGGACAATGCCGAACAGTGTTTTACTAAGGACGTTTGTAGTGTAGAAAACTTTTACTTTATTGTTTGTAACTTAGCTTGTCGTTCGTCTTATGGTCTTTCTGGGGAGGGAGAGAAGATCAAGTGGAGCAGCCGCTGGCTATGTCATTCGTTGTAAATTGTAAGATTTCCGTGATTACCCGCGAGGGTGACTCGAGAACACGAGGTCAGTAAGAATTAAAAAGTTGTTGTTGCGTTACAATAGTCTCTGTTAATTGGACTAATCACAGAGGGAGTAATAACTTGCAAAAGCACAAACAATGGACCAGGTCATTTGCCTAGGCACATCCTCTTTATTAAGAACTTCACATTATGTCGATATTCCACTCTAAAAGTGCTAATTTACTCCCTTTATTTGATTTTTGTTTCAGATTGTAGAAAAACAACTTGGTAACCTCGTTATGGATATCGGGAATGAGAATGATCCTGTATTCAGGCTCGAACAAATATTGGATAAAAAAGTGGAGGTCGTGCTTATTTGCTGTTCCATAGGGGCGATAACTATTTTCTTTATCGTGCTACTAGTCTTAAGGTTAGTTGTTGTGTTGCTTTTAAGGAAAAACCAGTTCCTTATCGTATCGAAAAGCTCGTCCTTAGGTTTATGGAAAACCGTTTACTTGATCTAAAATGTTAATTTGTTTCAGAGTGGAAATTACAGAAAAGATTTTTGTGCACTTAAATATGCTACTTTCGCTGGGCCTTGGGAACCTGGTGTACGTATTGGATTTTACAGTGTTTACCAGCAGAGCAGAACATCCAGTAAGTAGTTTATTTATCATCTTGAAACGCATACCGCAGGCCTTTTTCTATAGTCATTGACAGGTGGGGGGCCAAGGCGAGTAACATTCTTTGTAAACTGCATACTGATTAGATTACAAAGCCAGAATCCTTTTTTGTCATTCAATATTAAAAAATTCTTATCTTAAAAACAGCTTAAATTCGAAAAACAAACGAACAACAACAAAAAAACATTCTTACATCGATTGATGTTCAGTTCTCTTCATTTGCCTGATCCTCCACAAATTCAGGATATAAAAGGATTTTTAGCCTTCAAATGGAAGTTGCCTTACGTCTAGTTCTTTTTTTGCTGCTTTTGCCATGTTTTAAGACAGTAATCTTGCTACTGTTTCGACATTCTCTGCATGTAGCCTGGACAAAATGATGGAAAGTTTTGGTTGATGGCGTAAACAAGCGACGACAAATTTTTCTTTCTCTCTAAACTTTGACTGAATTCATTTAAAATAGTGGCGATTTCGCTGCCGTCGCACAGCAACTGCAAGACACATATTCGCACAGAAGCGAAAACAATTTTTTCGGATGAGACCAAACTGTAGCAGTTTTCACAGAAATCTAATCCGGTTTTGAAGTTTAAATGATGCCTACAGTATGTTGCCCAGTATCCGGACGGTACCAGTATCGTGACACTTGAAACAAAAACTCAGTTTTTGAGGCGCCCTTTTCAGTTCTCGGTAAACGAAGTATTTGGAATGAAAGCTGAACATTTCAGCTTTAAGATGAAAGTTTTGGCGGTTTGAAAGCTTGCGAAACAGTCGCAGAAGACGCCGCTCTGTTCAGGTGAGTAAATTTTTCATGGCTAATATTTACGCTGTTTACTGCGCAGTAAAGTTAGTGCTGCTCAGAAAAAGAAGGGTAATGTGTGATATTTTCAAAGAAACTATTTTATTTTTAAAGTGAAGATACTTAAGGAAGTCAGGTTTTCAGAAAGTTTATTAATTCTTCTTGACATTCGATTTGTTTGGAATAACGGAAGCCAGAAACATTCACTAAGTTTTGATGTCATGTGCCCAGTATCCGGACAGTTTTTTCTTTGCTGTACAGAATCGTTGAATTAGCTGTGTACATTCTCCGGAGAAGATTTATTTCATATCAGTAACTATAATTAAAGCTTAGGATATATGATATAGTCGTAAAATGTAACTCTACTCAACTCCGTATGGAAATTTTCTTCACTCATTCAGAGGCGACTTGATTTCGTGCGCACGGCTTGTTTCGCGTGACTGCATTTTCTATGTATAACTGAAAGCGTCTGAGTTGAACCTGGAATTCTCATACTTTCCCCAGTTGGGACTGCTAGAATGGGGTTGCAAAGGTCTAAAAAATGTCACAAGGGGGTTGAGAGATGTGAAAGAAGGAGGAATTAGTGCTAGAAAAGCAGGCTTATTGTGGGGACTGAGCATGAAGAAATCAACACTGCAGGTCAGACTAAATAGGAGAGTGACCTTTGACCGTCGGGTTGAGGTCCCTTCCCCAAGCTTTTCTTTAAATAAAAAATGAAGAAAGAAAGTCGTTTGCAGATTGGCTAATTGAGCTTGCAAACTGCGGCTTCGACATGTCCACGGATACCTTCCTTAAATCAGTGAAAAAGTTCCTAGACAAAGAAGTGAGAATTATACCATTTTTAAAACAGCCGCTAGCGTTCCCACCATACCCCAGTCATTTGTTATGTTTTATTTCACGATGCTAGGTTATATTTTCGGAATCGATTGCCAGACTACTTTTCAAGTGCAAGAGAAGCTTATAAGTCGCTTGCCTGTCGAAATTTATGTACAATTACGTTGTTATTGTTGTGTCCGGAGCTGGGCCAGCCGTCCGGATACTGGGCAACATAGGAGCTCAGCAAAAATATTAATTTCGAGATGGAAACAAAGGCAAAAAAGTTAAACTGTCTTTCGTCTTATTAAGGACTAGATAGATTTTCTCTGGGCCAAGTTTCAGAGCTCTTGCGATTAACAAAGGAAAGTTATTGCAATTTTAAACTGAAGTGTCCGGATACTGGGCAACATACTGTATAGAAAATGTACAGGAATTTAGATAAGATGGTGCTTGGGACGTTTATTTTTGCGCAAAGTTTGCATGTCAGCTTACAAAGTGGCCAAAGTGGCCGGACCAAGGAACCACTGGCTGTACCAGGGGCCTTCCAACGGAGCAGTCACTTTCTATGATGCAGGATTTTTGGCAAGCGCAGAAGCTGTCGGTTTGTCACAAGTTAGTAAAATGTTACGGCAACTTTCGTGACAAATTTTAGCTCACCACTCACTTACGCCTTTTTCGTTCGGACCAAGGACCACATACTGTACGTCCTGTCTCGAACTTTGTAAGTGTTGGGAGTGAATCCTCGACCCGTTCGTATCTTCCTCACTATGGCGCTCGAGAAGGATCCGTACGTTATCCTCCCTTGTATTTACTATACACTGCATCTCCGAGTGATGTCCTAAAAGTTATGATTTTGTCGTATCCTTTTTACGCCGATGACAGCCGGATATACATGCCCTTTCACCGTCACTGGTGAACCTGGGTACTCCAAATCTAAACGTGTATCCTTGACACCAGTAGTTGGATGAGAGCCAATAGGATCAAACTCAATGACGAAAAAACTGAGCTTTTGGTGCCGAACGCCTTTGATTGCCCCCTCAGGCAGCTAAGCTCCGTTTACGCAATCAGTGAATAAATTATAGCCACTAACTCGGCTAAAACCATCGGCTTTTGGTTTGAGATCAATCTACAAGCATGTGAAATTTCTTTGCAAGACTCCTTTCTGCCAATTACGTAACTTGGCCACTATTAGAAGGTTCCAAAAGCACTGTGAAATTCTCTTACAAGCCTTTGTTACAGTGTACTCAGTCCGCTAATCAATCAATCAATCTTTATTTGTACTCACTCTTGCTCAAAAATGAATTACAACAATGAAAATATTAAAAGTAACTCCCTTTTATCTGGTCCATCTGGTCTCCTCAGCATCTGTTGCAAAACATGTTTAAAATACTGCAGCCAGTTCCCTCACACGAACCCAAACAAATACGACCACGTTCCCCGCATTTCTTTCTTTTTCAGTAGATATCGAAAACGTCTTCCAAATTTGGTTCACCCTAGCTGGTTACAAAGAATTAGTCGGGGTATTTGAGCCAGTCAAAAACGAGAAATATTTTGGATGAGATGGTAACAAGTAAGGTTTAAATTTCTAAAATTCGGATATGTACACACTTTTTTTATTGTCTTTTAGGTTCTCTGTTCGACTGTTGTGGTAACTCTTCATTTTCTGGAAACAGCTCTGTTTACCTGGATGTTTGTGGAAGGAATAAACCTCTACAACAAGTTGGTCAAGGTTTTTTCGATGCGAAAGCAATACTTAGGTTTCGCGGCAATAGGATGGGGTGCGTTACTTTTCTTGATACTTCTATTCCAGTCATTTTGTGGTTGGACCCGGAACTATAAATGCAACAGAAGCGTTCTCTTCGCCAATCACTTAGGATTAGACTATAAATAAACATACTAAAAGTCCCAAAAGATCCGAGCAAGGGAACATTGCATAACGGACATTTTTGGTCCCCTGGGACCTCGGACCTGGTTTCTTGTCCCTCCCTAGCTTCAACAGGATTTAGGCTACCACATTAAAAATCAAGGAATCAATAGTAGACACAGAAGTCTGTAAATTCAAAATGGGTTACGTGATAAATAACATCATATAATTTGGTAATCACAGTATTTTTGGACCGCCGTTATCTTGGATCCGCCATATTAAATCCACCATCTGGAGTCAATGCAGGGGGAGGGATAAGGTAACTCTATTGTTTTCGACGTAAGTTCCTTGACCCACTCCGCCTGCCAGTATGACGTCACATGGTAACGGGCAAGAGCCTCGTGTCGCTTGTGCAAATTAGCAAGGGATACGACAGTTATTTGGACGAGCGAGGTCGAGGGAAAGCAAAGAAGCTAGCAAATATCGCTATATATCGCTTATTTGATCGAATGTGTGCGAGCTTTGGTGCTGCTTTAATCTGCTTGTGTAAACCGTTTTGATATTTGTGTCCTTGATTGTATAATTTTGCTAATTTGTTTTGCGGGCCGTGTTGGGGGATCGCCATCTATTTCACGGGACCGACAAGGTCATCAAACTTAAATTTTTTTTCTCTAAACTGCGTTCCGGATCGCGCATGTTTGTATTTCATCTATTCTTTTGCTAATAAATTGGGCCTAAATTCATATCATTCCTTTCGAGTGTGGGCCTCTGTTGACCTCCTAATACTCCACCAAATTCAGTAAGGCTAGTTCGATCGATTATCTACATCGAGTCGGCTCTTTGAACCCGAAATAATGCGAAATAGCTTTGAAATACGCGCTTAAAAATACAGCTCCACCAGCTTCAAACAGCATCTATGGCAGAGAAAAATTGTTTTGATATGACAAAATCAATTTGTCAAATCATGTGTGTCACTGTGGTGCAGTGGTCAAGGAGTTGCGTGCACCTGCAGATAAATCGGGTTCGACTCCCGACGACGCTGTTTTCTGTTTCCCTGTACCGTTTTTTTTTCCCGTTTGGTCTTTTTTTTTAACCCAATTTTTCCTTTTGGCCTCTTTTTCTTTTTCTTCTAGTCATGCACTTGGATCATTATATATTTTAAGCCTAAGTACGGAGTTTTATTTTGGAAAAGGGATTTCAAAAGCTTTTGATCTGCATACTGACCAAGCTCACGACCAGATAAAAACCATAAGCTGTCGAGACATGTTCCTCCTCTGAAACAGCTGAATTTTTTTCAATATTAGTTGACATCATAACAAACAACACACAGTACTCCACAAAATGTACTAATTTACACCCAACACCCACCAGTGAGCCACTGGCCAAAGTTAAACTTGCCTTTTGTACCTCGTCTTGATCATCAATATTCTTACCCTAAAATCTCCACTGGGTTCGGCCCCCAAAAAATAATTAAAGGAAACCTTTTATTGGTTTTCGGGATTTAATTACAGAATTATAGGTGTATGCCCAATACAGTATTAAAACGCGGTAAAGCAACAAGATTCAATGCTCACAGTCTCTCACAAAAACCTGTCATTTAGCTTCCTCTTTCAACGCTACAGCTAAGCGAACTTTGAGAGCAATGATATGGGGTTCCACTAGCTTTGAAGAGCTGAAAATACGCACAATGTAAAGTATATTATTATATGGCTGAGTCTGTTTTGGCCATGCGATTGGTCAATTTGCGGTCTGTAATTTGCTATACGGACCAAAATTTCGAAGAAAAAGCTCATTTTGGAGCTCTAAATCTCTTTACCTCGGAAAAAAGGTTAAAATTAAGTTACAAGACATCTATCAACCTTGAGGACTTAGATTTTGACTTTGTCCTTCAACATTTTAAACTGTGTTTATTTGTGAACAAAGGCGATGAAGAAACTAACTCGTAATCTTCTCGAAGAGGATTCTAGTCAGTTTGAAAATTTTATCGTAGTACACAGTTAAGAAGACGAAAATCGACTGGCAGAGATTCGAGATGTTTTCTTGAGAGAAAATGAGTAATTCGTTCGACAAATATGACAACAAACATGCCTGCACCTGATCATCTTGACGAGCTTCTTTGTCATTTGCAGTGTTTTTCCAAAGACCAACGAAAGAAAGATAGCAGCGACTCCGAGCCAGACACAATGTCCAGTTTTCAAAAGACTCCAGCGTCACATTGGCGAATGTATACTTACAGTGCTCTTAGTTTTGCCCCAATATACTTAAAAATATGTCTGTAAACCCCGAGGACTGGGATGTTGACTTTGCCTTTCCAGATTTTAACCAAGCTTTGTTTGAATGAGAACGAAGCTGATGTAGAAACTGCATCGTAACCTTTCCGTGGAAGAAAATATGGTCCGTGTTTGAAAATTTTAACGCAGATCACGCTTGAAGACGGGAATGAACTGGCAGAAATTCAAGAGGTTTTCCCACAAAGATTAACTAGCGAATCCTTCGAAAATGACAACAAACTTACCTTGAAAAGCTTCTTTTCCTTTTGCAGTGTTTTTTTTTTTTTCACAAGGATCAACGGAGGAAAGATGGAAATGACTTCAAGAAAGACTCAGTGCCCGGTTTCCAAAATACTCCAGCGTTACATTAAAGAGATAAAACTTACAGCGCTCTTAGTTTTGACGAAACAAACTTTTTCAACATGGCGAATTTGTTTTCACTTTCTCGGAAACCCTTTGTTGTGTGCTATTGTTTTCGTGAGCCAATGAAAAGTTTCTTTCTTCACGCTTGTCAAATGATTTTCAAATCGCGCGCCCCGCACTTGTTTCCGGTCCCCTAAACTAGAAGAAGCCATGTAATAAACATCTTATTAGCCTCGTTTTTTCGGTCCGTATTGTAAATTACGGATCCTGGTTTTTTTCCAACGATTTATGGCCCGCGCGCTTCACGCTTGGGCCATAAATCGATGGAAAAAAACTCGGTCCGTAATTTACAGTACGGATCGAAAACTCTGCTAATAAGAGGTATATACCTCCTTTGATGAACCTCCTATTGCTTTGTCTAAACTCCTCAATCTTGCTGTGCACTGGCCCTCAAAAGTGTGACCGGTCGGTATGATTGCCCGTAAAATTTTCTCGACGATACAAAGGAATCTTTAAAATTCATTACACCACTGCACATTTCATTCAAAAAAAGTACTTAAGGGTAGTTTTCTATGACAATAGAAACCTTAAAATCTCCAAATGCAGGAAATCGGAACAGTATTTCCGTGATAAAATCGAAATTTTTATCTGTTTCTTTGATGAACACTTTGCTCGCCATTTTGAAAGTCACTAACGCGAGACGTGGCGTCACACTGGCAGGCGGACTGTACCACAGATTTCCTTTCCCCCCCGAGTCAACGTCAAGAGTAAAAACGTTTCAAATCGCCTCACGTTTAAATTAAGTAACGGTCCTGAAAAGATATTAAAGTGTACAAAAAGATGGAAATATAATTTACACGGTCATTATTCAGCTAACTTTGTTAAATTTAAACTTTCAAGTGTTCTCCCTTGATACAGTCCAACCTCCACTATTGTCCACCTCTCTACAACGGCAACGGCAACGGTGTCCCCAACCGCCAAAATAACTTCTCGACATCGGCCAGTTTTTTTTTTTCAACGACAGATGAAAAAGTCAAGAATGGTCATGAAATTTGATCTGCATGGAACGTTTGAGATCAATCGGGGCAGTCGTATTTTCATTTTGTTTCATTTATACTGCTGCAGTAAGCATAAATAGTCTAAGATAAATGTATCGAATGTTGCGAACCTTGCTCGTTTTGTCACGTCAACATCTTGATTCAAGACATAATTCAAGCTTTTTGTGTATATATTAAATATGATAGGATAACCATGATTACGGGACACAGTAAGCATGAACTTAAGGTATCATCCAAGGTAAAAAATCATCATTTTTCTAAATTTGCAATTTTTAGACGATTAAATAGAGTTCATCAAGAGCTTTCTTTTAAAAAAAATTCCAAGAAAAAATGTTTTTTCTGTACATACTTATAGAGTGCAAAAGTTTTTTCTATGTTAATTATTTTAATTGATCTTTGACAAGTCCTGTCATACTTGATACGTGTGCCGCTGTTGAACCAAGCTAATCACACAATTTGACAGAAATCGCGGTTTACAAGTATAGTGCTCACTGTTTCTGTTCAATAACTTCATACATTTTGTATCCTTGTAATGTCAGTTTCAATGTTATGCCTACCGCCTACCAGTATGTTTCTTTTAATAATTCTACTCAAGTGTAGCTCATATTATAGTTACCATTAAAGAACGAAGCATATACTTGTGTACTGTCCTCGTTTCGCAGGGCTCTTGCCCCGTTTCATAGCTTTACCGTGCTTGTTTTGACTCGTGGCTTTAAGCGTGCCAGTCCGTCTCGAATAAAGGGCCTGGGGGACTTAGGGTTTAAAGAACGAGTTATGTTAGGTGGGTACCGTGCTTGTTTCGACACGTGGGTTTAAGAACGCGTTATGCCATTCGCGTAGCGTGCTCGTTTCGGCTCATTGCTTTAAGAACGAGTTATTATTTTTGTGTAGCGTGCTTGCTTTGACTCATCGCTTTAAGAACGACTTATGTGTACCGACGTCCGTGCTTGTTTCGACTCATGGCTTTAAGAACGAGTTCTGTTGCCTGTTAGGTTTGCCATTCTCGACTTAGGGCTTAAAGAACGAGTTATGTTACACGTTCAGTGTGCTTGTTTTGACTCATGGCACGACTAGACTTCCTGAGATTCCATCGGAATCGATGTGTTTCCAATGGATCCGATGGACTCCATCGGACGACTTTCCAACCCTCCTCTAAGTATTGCTTACACTTCCGGTTTCATGTCATGACTAAACTTCCGGTAACTCAAGTGGACTCTACTGAACTTCCGGTTTCATTTTTCGACTAGACTCCGTCGGACTCCAGGTTTTGTCCACTGGAATCTGGTCGAGAGTATTGGACATGTGTGACTGTTTTTCCCTGGAGTTTGAAAGTGAATGCCTCCAAAGAAGAAAAAAGAGCTTGTCCGTTTTCGTCCTCGACTCCGAGACAAAAGAAGACGACAAAATCGTTTTACCGCCAAAGAGTGGGCTTCGAAATTAGCAGAGAGCGACAAGGGCTCCTACTACAATCAAGGAAAATGGATAAAAGATGACAAAGCTCCTGAAAAATCCATTGAAACTACCACGGAATCGAGTTTCATGAGTTTGTTAGCGAGCGGAGGGAGCTTTTTAGGCCGCGAAGCAGCCAAGCAAGGGACAAAGTCAAGAGAGGTCCCGCGCCATATAAAAATCGGACGAAGTACTGTTTTGAAAGTCTATTGTAGCGGGAAAGAAGCTTCAAGACAAACCCCCGAAAGCGGTTTGATGTCGATTTTCCCAGGGAAGTGTCGAACTTTTAAAAAATGTATCGTATAGAAGTGGGCTTGGCTCAACTTGGCTTGTTCGGTGCGAAAATGAAAACTGCCCGTTGCAAATAACTAATGAAGCTTTCTCGACAACAGAAGGGATCGAACAGAGCAGAGCCTTTGAAATAAATTGTTCATCTGTTGTCGGGTTTCGTTTTCAACTTTTCCGGCTGTGTCACCTCTGGTATGCATCAACATTGACAGCTTTGGTGTTATAATCTGTTATAATCTCATCACGGGTAATACGCCGCCAAAAACTTTTTCACTGTTTTCTCGAAAAGAAAATCAGGGCAAGTTGAGGGTATGTTTTAAACTTCAAGTCGGCAACCCGTGAACCAAAGTTGGCCAACTTGCTGTCAGATAGGTTTTCCAAAAAACCGTGTCTGCGAATTTTGATTTCCTTTTTCATTTTCGAGTTAGAGTATTTTTTTCACAGGTAGTGCTAATGATTTGCTATCCCTAACTTCACCTGCTTATAACAACAGAACAAACGCACTTGACAAAAATCTGAGACAGTTTTTTCGTCAGACGTGTTAAGAAGCGAATGCGTTCTTAATTGGCTTCTTCCGTTAATTTTTGCCTGGACTGGACATAAATTTACAGTGACACCCACTTTCACAAAAAGCATCTCATTTCTAAATCGCGTTAATACTTTAATTTTTTAAAAGAAATAAGCAATAATCTGCAACTATTAAGCTTTCAGAAAATGTACGGTTTATGGGGGTACTTGTTAAAAGCAAAAGCGCTAGCGCCGATCAACGCGAGGAGGGTGATTGAGGGTGGATGATACCTTAACACAAAAACTGACATGTTGTACTCCCTAAAAAATGTCATATAACACCCCCACCTTCCCATAACGGCCACCTCTCCACAATGGTCAATTTCTTCTGTCCCCGGCCAAGGTGGTCGTTTTGGAGAGGTTAGACTAAACACTCAAATTGCTTTAAGACCCATGCAGCACGCAGTAACAAATTCAATGGATGCCTAAACACCCTAAAACAAGTAAATTTGCTAATGAAGTGAGATTGATTGTTAGTTTCTGGAAAAAATTACGCTGCAAAGGGAAAGTACATTTTGTTAACAGCTCTTGGCCACCATAAATGGAATGGATATGAAAGGTTTACACCCCGAAAAATCTTTTAAGTTTCATTATCGTTAAATAGTTAACTTGTTTCTCATTTGTTTGTGTCGATTAATATTTCGTAATTTTCATAACACTCAAACTCTACATTGACTTAGTTTTAAGCACGCGTGATATCATCAGTATTCAGACTGCAAGTCAAACATTTAAGCCACTTACTTGCTCCCTTAGGTGGGGAGAGCTAACATATTTCTTCAAAGCTACGGATTTGCGAAAACCATAGCACGGAAAGAGGTAGTGTCACACCCAAAAGGACTTGAATATACAACATGCGACAAACACGAACATCCTAACTACTACAATGGGCCCCATTATTAGGAAGAGATCAAAACGGATAATGGGCCCCCGTTTAATGGATCGAAGTTTGCGAACTTTGCTCGGGAACAAGGGTTAAGAAACCGAAAGGTCACCCCTGGGTACGCTGAAGCTAATGGTGACGTGGAGCGTTTCATGCAAACCCTCAAGAAGAGTGAGAGAATTTCTAAACTTGAAGGAAAAGCTTTTCGGGAGGGAGTGCAAATAACGGTTGGCAACTATTGAGCCACGTCCCACCCAGCGACAAAGGAAAGCCCTGACATGTTCATGTTCGGTAGAGAACTACCGAGGAGGCTACCGGAAAGGATCGTACCTGCAGGAAAAATTCCATACGACCGAATCAGACAAAGACCCAATCAGAGACGTGGCTAAAAAGAAGCAGATGAAAGAGTACGCGGACAAGAGACGGAACGCCCGTGAAAACCTTATAGTGGTTGGAGACCAAGTTCTTTTGAAGCAGAGCAAAGCAGATGTTCTGACTCCAGCATTTGACCCCCGACTCTTCTCAGTAATAGGCGTGAAAGGAAGTATGATCACCGTGAAAAGGGGTACGGAGATTAAATCGCGGAATTCATCCCATTGTAAGTTGCTGAAGCACGCGAGGGAGGATGAGTACGTCGCTGTGGATTTGGACCAAGGTCTGGATGCATCCCGCGCGGAAGAAACTGAAACCAGGGAAGATTTGCGTTTGCAACCCGACAACCTCGGCGTATCCAGTGAAATGACAACTGGCGGTCCACGTAACGAGCCTGATGGTCCAACGACATCCTTAGGAGGGACGGAAACGGCGCGACATCAACAGCAGCCAGGCAATACTGTAGTATGCGGGCCAAGAAGATCAGCGCGAACAAGAACGTGTACTTGGAACACTATTTACAGGGAGTTTGAGCCACACTAGACAAAAATGGGGAGATGTAGAGTTGGGTCTCAAGGGACTTAATGCAGGATAATTATATGCGAAATGAGCGTTAACACTCTAACAAAAAAGGGACTTGATTTGCATACAGGACAGTGGTGAACAGACTAGCAGGAGGACTATTAACGGAACTAAAGGTGTTTGATGTAACCGTTTATTGAGCCCCATTAGCGACTTTACAAGTATTTTCCCGGGTAGATAACCTATTAAAGCATAATATATAGATTTAGCCAGGGCTAAAAGCGAGGCTCCCATTAATAAATTTATAATTTAAATTAAACAATAAACTTCTATTGAGGGAAAGGCTACCTGATTTTAGAGAAAAATAATTTGCAAACAGCCCAAGAGCGAATCAAATGTTACATCGAGTTGATAGCCTCATATGTACACCCAAAAACTGGTAATCATCTTCGATCACATTTAAGAGCCATAATGGCTCTTGATCACCGTAGATTAATTAGTGGAAAAAAAAAATCAGGCCAATTTGTTTGCGTTCGACAAGTTTACTTTGCAAAATCTTGTCAACAAATCTTGCTGCGTGTAAACCAACCTTTGATACCATTTATACATCACATCTGAGGTGAAACAGTAGTATGAGGCACTGTTTTTATCATACCGGCAGACCTTGGACAGGAAGCAGTATTTCACAATACAAATTGCACTCATTCAATATTCATAAACTGTTAAAAAAATTTCCAAAATCACCTATACGGCCATCCGGTTCTCACTTTTGTAGTGCAAGCTGTGGCGAGTGTTTGAATGAACTTAACAGAGTTACGCTCCAACATTATAAAGAATTTATTCTATTTATTTTTTATTTAATGGTTTATTAACGCGCGGCATTTTGAGTACTCCTGCAAGCGATGTTCACTGAAGGACTGAAAACAATCGGCACAGCGATTAAAATTACAAGAGAGACTACTAACAATCAATAAAAGAAACAGAATTCGGTGAAACATATACAGAAACAACAATTTTCATTCAGGAAGACAAGTATTAAAGTATCCCTAAAAATCCTGAGTCTTCAAGCTTCAAGCTTAAGTTTATGTCTTAAGCCGGCTTCCCGGTGTTTGCTTTTTTCAAAGACGAACTAGAGGCAAGAAAATCGCTCAAAGCTTTCTTTTCCGGTCAGAATTATAACTAAATATTCTTTGGAACGTTTTCTTTCTATTTGCGTTGAGAAACTGTCTAAAGGCTTTTTAAAGTTCTGTAAGCTTATATCAAACTTGATACTCGGTCAGATCATTGTCTCAAATCTTACAAACGTGCATAAACTAAATGACCGCATAAACTCGCTCGACTTCATTAAATTAGATCCAAAAAAACAAACATCAAATACAATAATTTCTCTGGCTTACCATTTGAGATGCAGCTCCTGAAAGGTATCAAGAAAAGCCAGTATCGCTTCAGACTTTGCAATCCTCTTACGCATCAAGCAAGGTGAAAACGAAAACGATGCCATCCGAAATCGGATTTCCGACTTTGACAAGCGACGTATTCCTCAACCAAAAACCCAATAAACAAACTAGCCATGAATAACAGAGGACTCCTGATAGCAGCTGAATTTCTTTTTGCACATCCAGTGGAAAAAGACAGTTAAAAACATCACAAGTTGACACAAAACTCTGTCAGCTTCAGCTGTCAAAGTAAACAAGATTCAAGATAATGCATAAATTTTCCGCATGAACTCACCTGTCAAATTTTGACCAATCAGAGCATAAAAATTGGACGTAGAGCGTGACCAACGCGTGACCATGGTGAGAAAAGTCAAAAGCAACTGTCTTCCCTGCCTGTAACAGCTGGCTGAATTTTCGCGCCCGAGGTCAGTTTGCAATCAAAATTTTAATTGTGTAGACATAAACACAACATATTTCATATGAATTTAGAAAAAACTTGAACTTGAGCCTGCGATCACTTGAAAACTAGTAACTTGTCAGCGGATAACTTCAAAAAATACTTGACCTCGATGGGTCGACACCTGAGCCCGCGATACGGTCAAGTGATACTGGTCAGCGGGTACCCTGTTTTGACAGCTGTCAATTGATCAAAACATTGATGTCCAATATGTGTGCATTATCAGTTTAACTAGTAAAAGTATGAGATTGAACATTGTTCGCGATCTAGTAAAACAATTAACTGGTCAGCGGACAGCTTCCAAATAAATCACGTCACCTCGATGAGTTGACACATGAGCCCGCGATATGGTCACGGGATACTGGTCAGTGGCTATCCTCTTTTGACAGCTGTCAATTAACCATATTATGAATGTCCTAAAATCCTATATTAAAGATGTGGACTTGCCAAGACACGCCTGAGACACTCCTCCCTTCCTTTTGATAGTCTCCCCTACCCCACCCGTACAATCTGTAGACGCGTACGTACGTACGCTCGGTCAATCACGTGACAACCAAACGAAAATAGGTTGACCATATTCCATGAGTATGGGGCTCTGTCCCAAGCGCGCTTCGCGCGCGCGGGAGCCCCGCTAAAAACATTGCCCTAAGTTGATCGTGTTTAACGATTATGTATTACATGAACGCCTTCAACGTAAGCGTTAAAGAAAGACTTTAAGCCTTGTTTCCATGCGGTAATAAACAAGGGTCTCGGAAATAGCCTGCGTAGCAAGCGTTTCCGCGCGCGTTCGTCGAGAAACGTTGGGACAAGAGCAAAAAAAAAGAGGAAAGACGGGGGAGGGGGAGGGGAAAGACGGAAACGCTTGCCCGCAAACCCCACGACTTTGAAAAACTGCGTTCGCCCACGAACGCAGCTTCTGATTGGTGCGGTACTTAGCACTCGAAACATCAATCAAACCAGGTATGCCTTGTTTACGTGCGCCACAGATCTGGTCTTATCTGATCTGTGGTCACAGATTACAATTTCTTTGGACAGATATTTATTTGAATCGTGTTTGTGCGAAGGTTTATGAGATCAGAGTCGTTAAAGTATAATAGGAGATCGAGCAGTGGAGACTAGTGAAGGCCAATTTATTGGAAATGACGGCGTGCGGATCTGACAGGAAAAAATGGACTGTTTGATGGAGATAACATCAACGCAAACATCAACGTAAATCAGAACATCGGTTCTCATCACTAGCTAAAGCCGCCATGGACAAGCGATTTGTCAGCTTTTTGAAATGAAAAGATTCTTTTCGTTTATTGGAAATTTAGCAGCATGCTTTGTAGAGAACGTTTCGACTCGGGCTGAAGAGCAGCCGCTCTGCAAAACTTATAGCCGGCGGAGTGAATTGTTCCGGACAAATCATTTTTGACGTTTCGATAAGGTTTCAGACGCACATTAAAAAACAAGAAATTCCGCAGCAATCGCTCAGAGTTTTAACCCTCTGTTATCGTAAACCTTTTTTATCACAGTTTCTGCAATCGCCTGGAACGTGTTCTGTTGGAGAACAAAGTAATTTTACAAATCCGGTAATCCAGGGGTAATCTGTTATCCTTCTATTTTGACGAGCTGTCAATTTACAAATGAATCGAACCGTGAAATATCAAGGGGCGTTTTCCAGAATCGTGGGGTTTGCCGGCAATCGTTTTCTCTTCTCCCCTCCCCCTCCCCCTTCCACCCTATTTTTTTTTGCTCCCGCTCTACCTTTCGCGCAATAACTCGATTGGAAACGCTTGCGACGCAGGCTATATCGGAAAGGTCTCAAATGCTCTCAAGTTATTTTGTTCTTAAGCAACTCCCCCTGCTAGGACTCTATGGGACTTTTGATATGTTATTAAGGACGGTTTGATGATGACAGTTGGAGTATCCTCTGTTGCAATTAGTTTCAGGTTAACCTACTATTTTCTACAAAATGAATGGAGTATTCATGGGCTGAGATTTTTCTCAGAACATTTTAATCAATACACAAAAAGTTGTTTTATTATTATTATTATTATTATTTTCATTTTGCCTCATTTAAATTATATATATACACACAATTCAGAAAGATGATTCAAGGGAGCCCATGCAAGCCAATAAAACTTAAGAAAAGGACCACCTTTAAAAATATATGACTTACAGTGCGACCATACGAACCGAGGCCACAGAGATAAAATTTTGAGACAAATTTGGAAAGTAGCCAATCACAAGTCTAGCTTAAGACAATGAAATTGCGCATAATTGTACTCAGTTCAAAATACGTTGCGAACCATTTTTCTAAAGGATATAAATAAGGATTTAGGAAGTTTGTATAAATTAAGCTGAAAAATATTTTGACAACGACTGCGTTGGCCAGAATCAAAGCCAGCAGCAAAGAAATTTTGAACAATCCGAACTAAAATCGATGGCCGCTTCTTTCAAAATTTGGGGTTTTCTGTTCCGCCCTAACTCTTCGTTGATAGCTCTGTCAAATTACCCAAACTGCGATTCACTCGCTAAGAGCCGTACCGCCATGTAACTGTTTGCCTTGAGACGAGTGGTCGTCGCCTAATTTAGTTCGGATTGCTCAAAATTTCTTTAGCGCTGGCTTTGATTCCGGCCAACCCAGACGTTGTCAAAACATTTTTTCAGCTTAAATCATTATATACAACGTCACGATTCTTTATTTACATCCTTTATAAAAATGGTTCGCTAGGTCAGTACAATTATGCGCAATTTGATTGTTTTAGATCTCGACTTGTGATTAGCTTATTTCAAAATTTGTCTCAAAATTTTGTCTGGGCGGCCTCGGTTCGTGTGGTCCCACTGTAATTATGAAATAAAATACTGGCAAGTGAAAATAGAAAGCAACATATTCGATAAAAAAAAAAAAAGACAAAAACGAACAAACAAACTTGATTCCGTGCCCTTGAGCGGGACATGAACTCACGTGTCTCTCGGCTCAGCTAGCTAGTCAGGTATGCTTACTACTAAACACACTGGTTACGCCACAGCGTAAAACCTACCAGTGACTACAGTCAAATGATACTAAGACTAGCGTGATAAAATTAATTTTGATTACATTTATTCAAGGAATTCCAGCGGTCATTGTAGGCATTACAGCTGCCATAAAGCCCTCTACGTATGATATGGAAGCACCATTGAAGGAAGTCATATGTGGACCGTTTAACTTTACTGGGCGTCCTGAGAGAGAAAGGTAATCAGCCACGTTATATCTTTTCTTCAATTTTTCTCCGATAACCTCTCTCTCACTCCATCGTTGTATAATTGTACATTTTATCGTAGATGTTGGCTCAATGGAAGTACGTGGATCTACAAAGGGCCAGTCTTGTTTTTTCTGTTGGTAAGAATTGTAAATAACGTCATTTCTACTATAAATAAAGACTATAAACATTTACTCGTTTAAAATACAATACTGCATTTTATCATTAAATAAGTCGAACCCGCTTTACGGACACCCGCCTGATACGGGCAGTTTTCCTTATCCCTGGAGAAAGCCCTCACAATTTCTCTAAATTGAACCAGGTTAATTAGGCATTTCGGAGTTGCGTAGGCAACTGGGGCGAATTTCAAATTTCAACTAATCGATAAACTTACACCACCATATAAAAGGTCATGTTGAGATTGGTCATTTGACCAAGTTTGGTGCTCTAAAGTTGAACAGGGATCAAGTTATGACTCCTGAAACATGGTTAAAGATCCATACAAACGTCTATAATTTTGTGACAGCGTCCCCAAAGCCATATAAACTCTTTTTCTTTTATTTAAACTATAAAATTCGTCATGCATCTACTACTTGAAAGGAACTAATTCGAAAATCACTGTGTTTGCCCATTTTAAGGAATATCACAGAAATCGTAAAAAAAATTAAGAGTTTATATGGTTTTGGGGGACGATGTCACAAAATTACAGAGGTTTGTATAGCTCTTTAACCATGTTTCAAGAGTCATAACTTGATCCCTGTTCAACCTTAGAGCACCAAACTGGTCAAATGACCAACCTCAACATGACCTTTCATATGATGGTGTCAGTTCATCGATTTGTTTAAATTTGAAACTCGCCCCAGTTCCCTACGCAACTCCGAAATGGCCAATAGGGACACTTGTTTCTTGCCCAATCAACGAATTCCAAGGAAAGTCAACCTCGCTAATGCAATAAGTGTGTGCTGTAATTAAACTTTTCTTTTGGAAGGTAAAAAATACCCTTTGATGACAGCTTGCTGATGTTCCAACGCTAAAGTACACCGTATAGAATCGATTTTAGACGTCAATTTCAGACTACTTTGCTACTAAACGAGTTATGCAGAGAACGGTGATAGGACTTTCCTTTACAAATAGGCTAGCTTTCCAATTTAAGAAAAATAGGACAACTGAAATGCACCAATCAAATGCCAGAAAATAAAATAGGTAATGCAAACTAGCCAATCAGCACAAAGTCCCTATGACAACGCGCCAAAAAAAGTCTCGTTAGCTGATGGCGGTTCGTCGGCGAACGCTCTTTGCTTCTTGTAGCTGTGAACGTCCTTTTGTTTTGATGCGGTTTTGTTTTGGCTTCTTGTTTGGACCATTTAAAAAGGAAAATGTATGATCAAACTGATGAAAGTTTGTATTGGAAACATTCAACGATTCTTGAAAATGTATTCTCAAACTCATTAATAATTCATTAAGAAAATACAAAGGAAATTAATGTTTAATGAGTGTTTGGAAATCGGATGAAACACTGCTTAGTATTTGCATCCTTAATTTCTCCTTCAAAAATGATTTTGTTTGAGAAGAAATATCAAACATTCGACACAGTGTTTCATCACCAGATGAAACACCTCGAAGTTCGTCAAAAATACTCCGCTGCGCGTCGTATTTTCAACTCTCTTCTCGGTGTTTCATCTGGTGATGAAACACTGCATCTCATGTTTGATATATTACCTGAAGCACTGAAACTTTGGAGAACAATAAAAAACACTGATATAGTTGCGTTTAGATTTTAGCATTACAAAACAAGCGAACAAAGTCTGCGGAAATCGTTTGAGGTAATGAATGAAATGTTTATTTTCAATAGTTTTGGTGTTTTTGTTTCAACGACAAATGGAAGGGTTCGAATGTACAGTATTTCGTGTCTGTGACACGCTAAAAAATCTGGATTAACTAACTAGCTATATAATTGATAAGTAAGAAGACTACATGCTTGTCCAATTTGAAAATAACTGAATTCAGCCAAATTGGACGACGCCGTAGGCCGAGTCCTTTTTTGGGTGTCCTCGTAATTTTTTTCATCCAGTTATTTCCAAATTGGATAGCACGTACTCTTACTACATATACAAATGACATTAATAGGGACAGCTCGTTGAAACGAACACTTTCAGTGGCCCCCCCGTATTAACCGGGATAGACTATTTTTTTTCGTAAAAATGTTCTTTTCTCTCTAACAGGTAAACATGGGGATGTTTCTGATACTTCTGCGAGTTATTTTTGGAAAGCTGTCCAATAAATACAACAAAGAGCACGTTAAGTTTGCAAGGTGCTAATCTCTGTTCATTATCTTATCAGTCTTTTTGAGGACTGTGAATGTGATTCCGCTTTTGCTAATCATCGTAGCAAGGTTGTGGGAAAAAAGAATGTGCCTGGGAAAGTTAACAACAACTACAATAACCACAACAACAAGCAAAAATGGCAACATGCAAAACTAGTTGATGAAATTGTCCCTTCAATCTTTTTATCTGGCACTTGAAAAAGCAGCAACCGTACACCCAAGTCTACACCCACAGAGTAATTTCCTTTCAACTGATTACAATACACTACACACTACAGTATAACAGCTTACAGCCTTATATTATAGTTACATGTATAATAATAAAATGCGAGCAAACATCATTAATTGAAACAAAGGGATCCTCAAGCGAATATACTGCTTGAGAATTTTGTCAAAGATGAAATCACATGAAGATTTACCTTTTAAAGAGATGATTTAAAATTCCGTTACCTGTTTATAAGGCAAAAGACCTATTTTCTTGACCCTGATTTATATCATTTCGCATACAAACTTAATTAATTTTTAAACTAACATAATGCAAAAAAAAATTGTTGGTATCACTCAATCGCCAACTTTGGCTTACCGAAAAAGGGACCCTACTCAAGAAGCTAAATTATGAAATTGTATACTACTCTTGTTTAAGTCTCAAAAGCGTGAAAACCATATCCTGTTAAGCTCCACAAACCCGTTTAGGGCAAAGAAGCGAGTACCTTAAGCTAAATCATGAACTGAATACCATTCAGGTCTTCTATTACCTTTTCACAGGAAAGGAATACGAAGCATGTTGGCCTTACTTCCACTGTTGGGTGTCACGTATATTTTGGGATATTTCCTACAATTCCACATCGCCGTTCAGTACCTGTTTGTTTTGCTGAATTCCACGCAGGTTTGTTGTTTACACCAGAATAGATATTAATTAACCTGAAATGTCAGAAATTGGTAGCCAATAATCTAGCCATCTCGCCATCTTGGTATTACTTTCTATGTTAAAACAAAAAAAAAAGGTCATTCAGCCTTTCAGAAAATGTGAGGTGCGATGGAAAAACTGATTTTTACTTTAATTTAGTCAACAGCTGCTGTTACAGGAGACAACTCGAACTACAATCGGAGACAAAATTACTTGAGAAATTTTGCCCTTAAGTGTCTTTCTGAAGTTTTGCCGTCTTCAAAAGGCTATAATGAAGCTATCCCTCCCCATTCCCACATGCAATGTTATGCCGCTACTTGCGCTATCTCTTGGAAAAAATAAACACCCCAGCTTTGACTGGAGGAGAGGGTATAAAGATGGGGGGGGGGGGCTTTTTTTGTCCAAAGTTACCTCATTTGAGGACATTGTATCAGCAGTTTTGTCGCTGATTGTTGGTAAAACAATTTGAGTAACGGGCACCTACAACTAATGGTAATTAGTTATGGATTATCAAAGCAAACGTCTCTTTTGATTTACAAACATGCTTCTGATGGGTAACAAACTTATAATCGGATTAGAATCTTTTGTGTCCTTAATTTTGATCTTAACCGTTTTTACGATCTTTCTTACTTACTATCCAATTCGAGGTCCGCTTTTTTAAATGTTTCAATATGAACGTACTACTCAGATCTTAATGGCAACCGGAATTTGATCAACGGATTCCGCATACTTTTGTCAATTGAGGTCAAGGAAAATACCCACATATGACTTTTTTTTGTTCACAGGGAGTCACTTTTACCATTTTTCACTGCGTTTTTGACGATCAGGTATTTGGTTATAAAGCTCAGGGTAGTTTGTGCTTCTGTTAATGATCATTACTGAAAGAAAAAAATAAAATTGCCTGAATCAGAGGACGCCTGCGCGCAGTAATATATAGATTTTGCAAGAGCTAAAAGCAAAGTCTCCGTTTATATATACTTATAACGAAAGAAATTTAATTTTGATGCACTAAAAAGAGATCTTCAAATCCCTTCTTAATAACTTTATGAGCCCTCCATTTACTCATTGAGGGAGGGCCTGGGTGATAAAGAAAAAAATATCCCGCAAACACACCTGCAATGAAAAAACTCTCTCATCAAACTAATGAATGTACCTCGAATCAAGACTTTCCTCGCACAATTGAGATCACGACTTGCTGCCATTAAAGAATGCTTTTGTACGTATACAACACAGTTCTTGAAAAGGATTCAACATGCGTTTTATATACGACGGTGTTGGATGAAGTCAGTGGAACCCTGGGAGTTAAACACGTTCGATCCGCAATTGACCAGTTCCTAACAGATTGGAATAGGTGATTTTTTTCTATTATTCTCGTTTTCCTTCTCTAACTGTCTGTCGCTGTGACTTCAGATTACTGAAGGACTGAAGAAGCTCTGCGGAAAGAACACTGTCCCACAAAAGCCAAAGAAAAATCTAAAGACTCCAAAGGAAACTAATAAAAAGAAAAGTAAAGGTAATTACAATATTTACATCAGAGCTGCAGTTCAAATTCTTCAACCGACATGTTTTTTTGTTCACGATCGTGCATTGTCAGCATTCCACAGACAAGTATTATGCATGGGATGAATGTTCACAAGAAGGACCTATCTATTCTCCAGACCTGAACGACGATCAGGTCCGTATAACACCCTAGGGGTAAAGGGCACTTCAAAGAAGTCTAACCGTCTAAACCGTGGGTTACGAAAATGAGTGGACCATCAGATATGGGTTACCGTTGTTTCAGGTTTTCAGTTCTACTCTTCAATATATCCTGATGGCAATATTTTCTGTTAAACAATGAGATTGTCCAATGAAAAATTACTTTGAAGTGATTTGGTAAACAGGGGCTAAATTTTGTTTAAGTACTCCGCCCAAGTGATTTTTCTGATCCCTACTATCTATATCTGTAAATTGGATTGTTATCGTCAGCTTTAAATGTAAATAACTTTCATATTGTCTTATCAAGATTTTATCAGCTTTCTCTATTTATTTAATTTTATTTATATTTATTTTCATTTTATTTATATATTTGTTACAATATGTGTTTGAAAAGGGTTACAAATCTCCGTAAGCTTCATCTTTTAGTTTGAAAACAATCTTTCTCAGCCCAATCTTAAGCCGTTTTCATGCATTTTGATTTAATCTTTCCCTATCTTTTTTTTTCATTAACACTCAGATGTCGCACATCCAACCATAGTAAAGGTGGTAAAGATGAATGGAGCCAATCAGACAACGAAAGGGACGAACGTGTGATTAAAAACCGCTGTTTAAAGATTATCATTTACATTATTAGCTTGTGTAAAAGCGCTGACATTAACTATTTGTACGTAATATAACAAAGCCGGCAACTGCGAATGAAGAGGTACGTAATTGTCGAAGTGTTTGACATTACTTGTAAACACGCGTTTTTTTTAAAAGGGGAATAACATCATCATCATTATAAAAGACCACGATATTAAGCTACCGCTCTTCTTGTCATGGTAAAGAACGACAAAGAACAAGAAGGCCTGTGTTAATTCATATAAAACACTTTGTAGGGAGGTTGGTTTATTTAAGTAATTTTTGGCGAATTTATAATTAGAAAGGATGGTAAAACATTATGCTTTTGTCAGATGATTTTTCTAGATGATTGTATTCAGTACTGCCAAGTTACAGGAAGATGCATGAGGAATTATTAATACCAAACACTCCACTTATTATATTGTTGTCGCAGCTTACTGTTGCAGTTTAAGGCCTCAGTCTAATGTAGGGCTTTCCGTGAGACCTGAACTAAACTCTTCATTTGAGTCGACCTAAATTAAGCTGAATCAGAACAAAAAGCAATCTTAATAAATTTTCTCTTTCACAAACGTAACTCACTAAGTTTGGTTCGTCTCATGAAATGGTCGACCACGTTAGTCCTAGGCCTAAGAAAGAAAGATTAACAGAATCGTAGTTGCTGAATAAAAAAGCCGCACATATTAAACGATGCACGCAGAATTGTACTGCCATTTACGAACTTCTGAATAAAGGCACAAAACGAATAATGAATACGATTTTTTTTAATACTACTTTATTGATAGGTTTAGTCCCAGGGCCCGTTTTAAAAGGAAATGCTCAAGCTTTTACCGTCTATTGTCACCTTTTTGTGCGATCCAATGGCCCAACCCTGTGGTGCATGATCCTCTTTGATGTGAAGTAAATGAAATAATTCATTTTTGAACTGCGGTTGTAGATGAAAGTGAAGAATGATCATCGCAGTAAATTTTCCAATTTAAGCAATTGGAAAGAAGAAGCCTGAAAAAAAAAAAATCAGGGCTTCAACGGGATTCGAACCCGTGAAAGCTCTAGCAACTGAGCTATGAAGCCACACATTGGTAGAGCAACGCACCGGCAACGCGGAGGTCACGGGTTCGAATCCCGTTGAAGCCCTGATTTTTTTCAGGCTTCTTCTTTCCAATTGCTTAAATTGGAAAATTAATTGCGATGATCATTTCTCACTTTCATGATCCTCTGGCGGGAATTCTTATGGCCAACCAAAGTACTTTGGGGGGAAATCTCATTTTCCACGAGAATGTGACATGAAATCATTGCCTAACGCACTTGGCGATAGAATTCGCGTAAATACTGTCTTGAAGTATTTAAAGCTATGCAAAGACGAAAAAACTAGGAATAACTGTTCCATTGCCAAATATATTCGGGGTTGTAGTTACTTACCTAAAATTTTCGGACGTTGTGTTTTCCACATTTTATTACCAAGATAATCTTCTTTATTGTTATTAAAAAGTCTCCAGGAAATTTCGGTATGGAGAAAAAGCTCCCCTAAATCTTCCAATGGAAGCATAGCTATTGCATGTCCTCAAACCTTTTGACTGGACCCATCAGGGTAGCTTAAGCCACCTAAATTTTTGAGACCGCCAAATTTCTCCTAAGATGACTAGAATATCCGTTTTATGGGCAGCTCCAAATTAACCACTAAACAGGGATCTAAAGCATAGAGAACCAGTTGAGATGTTTCTCACGGATTTGGAAGCATTTGGGCGTTGGGTGTGGCTGAACTATATGCACCCAAGACTTAAAACAAAGATTATTGTTATTCATCGTAGTGAATAACATGTTCATAAGTAGTGTTGTTTATTTTTTCTAATTTAGATCGCGAAGTTTCGACCGCTTAATGTTTGAAGTCTTCATCGCCAATGCTTACATTCAATGAATTTGACAGATCATTTCACTTTTTTCTCTGGTACTACCAGGTGTTTGTCTACTGGTTTAAATTAATCTTTCTTGAAAGATAAAGACTGAGCAATGTTTGACCATGACATGTATAGCATACGATCATCAGACAAGCAGTTCCTCAAAATTGCTTGCCCAAAATGTCACGAGGTTAACTCTTTAGTGGTGTGCTCATTATGGATATTTTTTGTTTTACCTAAACATTTTTTTTTTCTTGATTCAGGGCATGGGTTTGGCCAAATAGTTTTATTTGTTCTTTATTTCGTTTATGGAGGGTTGGTTTTGGGTAGTTAAACCTTGTTCCACCTTTCATAATTGGATATTTTTATGTAAACTGAATCTGCAAATAAATAAATAAATACATTTTTTAAATGTACAAAGTACTCAAAAGAACTTTGTTAACAGAGATTATAAAATGACACTGAGAGAGAAAGCTTCTTGGGAACATGATATTAGGCCAGATTGGCTGGATCCATAGGTGCTCGCTCCAACAATTAATAGACCGCAAAATACGGTGAAACCTGTATCAAGCGGACACCCTCTATTAAGCGGACAGTAGCCGAAGTCCCAAGATTTATTTCCCTTATTTGCTTTAAATGAAACCTTTATTAAGCGGACACCTCTATTAAGCGGACGCGGACACCTAAAAAGTACCTGAAATGGTCATTTCTATTGTTACCAACTTGTATTAAACGGACACTTGTAATCAAATGCCACCACCCAGCATCCCAGACACCGGAAATGCGAAAATTGCCTCGAATTGCTACCCCTAAATTTTTCTATTTAAACATTAAAAAACGTGACGAACATATTTGATTAGTTTCACAGTACAGTATTGTTTTCTATTTCGTTTTGTTAGTATAGAGCTTGTTTCACTCATCCTATTTCTTCAAATTTGAGTTGCAATTTATGTTTATGGTATTGTGATCAACTGGTCCACTTTGATAAAGAAATTAATGCAAACGTATATCGTCAAAGTCTCTGGGAGTTAGCCTGTTCCAGGCTCCGAGGTAGTGGTGAAAAGTCGTTCAGTAAAAAGAAATGCGAAAAACGCGCGGGGGCTGGGGAGACATTTTTCTCGCTGCCACCGCCCCCTTTCCCAAGTCACGCGCGTCTTATTTTCTCTTTGCTCGTTTTAATACGTCCGCATTATACTAATTGAGAGCCTGGCACAGGCTATCTGGGAGTATTCTTAACCTTTCCACTGTTCATTTAAATGACATTTGACACCTCATATGACGTTATCTATCGAAACCTGTATTGGGCGGACACCCTGTATTAAGCCGGACACTACAGCATTCCCCGAGGGTGACCGCTTAATACAGGTTTCACCGTATCTAGTTGGGCTAGGTATTGCTTGATTGATGCTCATCAAGTCTGATTAGAAAAAAATCAACTATGGCTTGCTTTGTTACTCTTTTGAACATACCTGGTACAAAATTAGTTTCCGTAATTCATTAAAATGATAAAGACAATCTCTCTGTTATTATTCATGTGTATGAATATAGTGCGCCTGGAGTAAATTGCCCATTGCAAAGAATTATTCAGATGGCTTTCCTCTCGTCTTTAAAACATGCCAATGATATTTTCCTCAGGAAATAAAATATCACTGATTATT